CGTGGGAGGTTGACTATGAAGTCTGCAGCAGGTGAACTGAAGGGCTTAGTGAAGTCACAGAATGCTGCAGTGACCAGCAGCAGATTGGAAGTTGGATAGGGAGATTTTCCTACCGTGGATGATGTGAAAACATGAGAAAATCAAACAAGCTTCATTAGAGGTATTTTATAAGCCTCCTCTGTGTTCATTTATTTTATTTTTTATTATTGTGTGTGTGTGTGTGTGTGTGTGTGTTCATTTATAAAAGGAGAAACAAGTCTATTCTGGAGATAAAGGAGGTCATTTCTTTCTGGCCATTTGCAGTCCTTCAGAGATGGACTCTGAAGCTCAGTATTAACACCATTCCTTTCATAACAATAGCCCTGCTGCTTGGGCAGCAGCATTCAGGAAAGCACCCTTTGCCAGGTTCCTGTGTCTCCATGTAGGAAGGCCCATCTGCTCCTGACATAATGTAAGTGCCTAGCTAGAGACAAGATGCACAGACTGTGCCAGGAAAAAGACATGGAGTAATTGACATAATGAGTAACCAAGTGAGAGTAGATCCCTCACCAAAGTCTAACCACACTAGCTTACTTTACCACAACAGATTTATTTTAGGTATACTCAAGACCATGTTAAGCACGGTGGGTTATACAAACGCATAGAAGACACTGCCATGCCTTTGATGAATCTGAAACTACACGGGGCATCTTCTGAATAAACTCTTAAATAAATTTATAGGAGGTAAGGAAATTGAATAAATGAAGAAAACTTCTATAGCTGAATATACAGATTTATACTGAAGAGATTCAGACTAGGAGAAGATCATGGTAAACAGAGTTGGGGCAAGATTTTTGGAAAAAAGTAATTGAGCTTTATGGCTTTATTTTCATCATGGTGAGACTTAGGGGTAAAGGTGAGAAGTAGAAAAAGGAGTGATAGTAGAATGAACAAGTTCTGTGGGTGATGTGGTTGGACAGGTTGGGTGAGGATAGTTGATGGGGCAGGGGCGCTTGGTGACGAGCTAAGGAATCTAGACTTGTTCCCACGGACCATCAGTAACTATTCTGATACTTCAGCATTAAAGTGCAGCTTTAAGAACTTTCATCCAGCCTTGGTTAACAGAAGATACTAGAATGGAAGACATACAGATGGGAAGATAATCTAAGTGTATTGCTATAGGAATCCATATGTGAATATGGGAATGGGGCTAAGTGGGAATAGAAAAGACAGGTTGAATCTAAAAGACATTGAGGAGAAATTTCCAATGGACTTTGGTGATCAAGGGAATGCTTGCAAAGGACTGAATGTTTCACAGACAGTATATACATACATATATATATATATATATATATATATATATATATATTTGTATCTCCCATATCAAATCAATGACCCTGGGATGTAGGGAAAGGCAAGTGTAGTGAAACTAAAGCTAAGGTTGGGTAAGTATCTTCTCCAGGGTAAAACATGCCTCCTCCTCATCCGAAAGAGAGAAGGATGTTGTGAGAATCCTGAGTGTTTTTCCTATTGACTAGTTTATCTTGCCCTTATAGTCTTCTCTGAAATTCTCCTGAATTAATGTTTATTGTAATCTAATTCCTGACCTCCGTGATACTGATATTTCCCCTTACACTAACATACTCCCCCCATCTTGTTGGAACAGGTGACATGGCTACCAGCACTCTTCTCTGTTCTTCTTCCTTCTGACCAAACACTACAGCCACAGGAGGCAGCAGTGAGATGTGGCTCTTGGTCACTCCTCTTCGGGTGGGCATCTACAATTTACTTCCCACAAGAGCCTACCCTTGATGGTTCTGGCAAAATGTTTGTGAGTCTTTTATTGCATGGAATTGTTGTGTTCACCTAGGTTTTGTGCCAGACTGGTTTAATGATTAGTCATAAATTCTGAAACTCTTTTAGGTATTTGCCAACCTTTACTGCATGTCTTGTTTCCCCTCCCCAGCATTTATCTTCCCACAAGATACAAATGAGTCAACATAATCTTCATCAAAAAGCATTATGCTCTTATTGCCCTTCAGTATCTGTAGAAGGAAGTATGATAAATTAAGCAGTGGCTTATATTTTTTAAAAAATAATAGTTCCAACTACTTGGAAGGCTGAAGTGGGAGGATCACTGGAGCCCAGGAGCTCCAGACTAAGTTGGATAACATAGCAAGACCCTGTCTCAAAACAAAACAAAACAAAATAACCAAACCAAAAAACTCCAAAACAACAACAAAAAAATGAAGCTTTCTGTTTTCTTCTGTAGTTTGTTTTTTGCTTGCTTGAGTGGTCTGCTCAGGAAATGGCCTTGTAGCTAAGTGGGTTTTGGAGGTTTGGTTATTTCACAGTGTCTCTATACCTTTTGGGTTTACAGTATAATAGAATCTTAAGAATTGCTGCTTGCTTTTTTAAAAAGTGTGAAGTTCTGCCAAGACATTATTTACAGATCCTTAGATTCTGAGGAAAAGGACTATGGAGGCATCTGAGCAAATTTTTTTTTTCTTATCTCCTATTTATTTCTATCTTCTCCCTCCTTAAGAAGAAACAAGAAAGTAAGAGATTGTTTTGAAATATACACTTGAGAAAAATAGATTTAAATTTTATTAGTAGGTTTGCCTAATTAATTAATAAAAATTAATAAAGTTCTCATTTTGTTGTAATTGAGGACATTCTAAGGGTACAGAGAAATTATAAAATTATATTATCTTATATGTCCAAATATGTAAAATCATCTTCCTTTTAGGATTAGCTTTGCTACTGTGCAATTAAGCAAATTAGTTTGGAATGTTTTTGTTTGTATTTTCTTTCCCAAAGGTACCTAAGGAATGTTTTAATTTTTATTAGTAATTACATCTATATCTTTAGTTTTCAGGTGTTTTATTAACTGGCTGAGGATTTTTTTTTACCATAGTCTGGCTTTCTCACTGTTGTACGCCCATCTCCTTATATAATGCTTAGAATATAGTGAGTACTCAATAAATTTGTTGAACAACTTAATGGGTTTTTTAATGTTTATTTCTAGTTTTTTAAATGGTATAATAATTTTAAAAAGCGAACTTTATCCTATCACATTTACATAACTGATTCTTTTTTGCATCTTTTAGTCTTTAACTATGTACATACTTTTACATAGTTTTAGTTATTATAAACTTGAAATTTTGTATTTTTATAAATTAAAGCTTTCCCATATTTTATGTTTTAAAATAGCCAAAGTAAACACCACATTACTTAGAGCAAAAAGAAATTCTCTCTTAATTCTAGATGGGGATAATTTGAGAAATATACTATACCCAAAAATATTGCTGAAAAATTAGGACTTATTTTAATTTACGTGTACTGGGATTGAGTTCCTTTATTTGAAATATTGTCTCTAATTTGCCTACAACCAAGATATCTCAATGATCTTTCTTTTTGCAGCATTTAGTAAGAGCATGCAGTATCTTTAATGTTCAGAATAAACAGTGTTCAGAATCATTATTTCCTGAAGGAAGTTTGAATAATTTTGCAAAACAGAAAGGATTGCTAATATCTTAAATAGAGGAAGTCTGAACAACACATTTCCCAGTTTTCTTCAGGATCAAGACTGATTTGTTAACATTTGTTGAACTCCTGCCTTCAATAAAGATGATACACTGATTTTGGGATGTTCTCACACTGAATTAGGCACTTGGGTAGACATGTATCCATTGAGAGGTTATGCAAGGTGAGATGTGGAAGGTTTTTCTAGAAGAGCCTGCCTTTCAGGGCCAAAATGCCACATGCACAGCATGGCTTCCTGAAACAAATTTCTTTCCTAAGACATTGGTTGCAGAGTAGAAATGTGTTCTTTAGAAACAGTTCTTCAGGCTTTCTGCCCTGAGAGTTACAATGTTGTTAGCAAGGTGGTTGATTTTACTTTCTTTTTGTTTCTTCACAATTTACCCACATTGCAGATGCAGGATATTGTGCTAACTGCCTGGTCAGGTGCTCCTTGTGGGGGCTACTTGCTCTGGATCCTTTATAGACCAATAATCTCAGTCTTTATATCCAGAATCCAAGTAAAGCTTTAAAGGCTACTGGAAGGGTTGAAGAGGTGCTAAAATCAACACTTTCCTTAATGGAGGTTAGCACTTCCACAGTCCTGGGAGAGACACAAACTGTCAGAAGCATCTGACTTTGCTTCATTTAAAAAAGAGTTGCCGGGCGCGGTGGCTCAAGCCTGTAATCCCAGCACTTTGGGAGGCCGAGGCGGGTGGATCACGAGGTCAAGAGATCGAGACCATCCTGGTCAACATGGTGAAACCCCGTCTCTACTAAAAATACAAAAAATTAGCTGGGCATGTTGGCTCCTGCCTGTAATCCCAGCTACTCAGGAAGCTGAGACAGGAGAATTGCCTGAACCCAGGAGGTGGAGGTTGCGGTGAGCCGAGATTGCGCCATTGCACTCCAGCCTGGGTAACAAGAGCGAAACTCCGTCTCAAAAAATAAATAAATAAATAAATAAAAATAAAAGAGAGTTTGAGGTCAATATAGCGGACTTTAAAGTTCTGAATGCACCTTCTGTGATGAACAGAAGTTTCTCATTGATCACACTGACAAGAAACCTTTCTGTGAACACTCCGGGTAGAAGACATGTAACTCTAAATAGTGTCTGTCTGTCTTCTTTTCTGGGCCCAACTAAACTTTGCAGAGTTCATATGGGACAGTGGGACAGAAGGAAATAGAAGGTGTCAACTGGGCCCTTGTGCTCACTAGGAAAATGGGGAGAGGTAGAACTCATGCAGGAGACCTGTAATTCTGCTCTTTCTCTGGGAGACAAGAAGGTGAGTTTTGCATATGGGTAATGGAATGGAACAATCTCAGAGTCAAGTCGACCACACTTTATGTTCCAATCAGCTTCTTGTTTGTTAAAAATTTGAATTGTAACCAGGTTCCTTTGCTGAGAAGGAAGGCGCTAGGGCCCTGGAGTGAGATGATGGCTGTGTTCTGTGACCACAGAAGCTGGTTACGTACTAATTTCCTCTAGGGCTTGTGATGAAGTCAGTAAACCACAGCCTTCAGCATGCTCTGCTCAGGCAGCAGCAGTGGCTTTTTGGAGGTGTCTCGGCCATGACACGCATTTGATATGCCCAACCTCAACCTACACATAGACTGTTTCTCTTGCTCTGCAGCATGGACCAAAGAGAAATTCTGCAGAAGTTCCTGGATGAGGCCCAAAACAAGAAAATTAACAAAGAGGACTTTGCAAATGAATTTATGGTGAGTCCTGTGTGTGACCCTCTCAGGGTAGTTACATACACTATTTAACTGACTACGGTGTTCCAATTTTCTGTTCCTTTTGGTTTTTTCCTTCAACTCATGTTCACCGTGAGGTGGTCCAATTTTCTTGGACCAAATTGCTCTTGGGATAAAGTAAATATCAGACCTTGGAGGGGAAGACAGAGAAAAAGGCAACCTAAAGTTTGACTTCTCTGAGTAGTTTGCATGTATTTTAAGTATTCTTTCAAAATTACTGGTTTTGATATTCTGTTTGCTAGTTATTTGGAGTTTGGTTAGGAATCCTACAGAAGACATATACAACTCCAGATGTAAAAACACTAACATTAATTGAACATCCATATTTCCCCAGGTATCTGAATTGTGGTTTATGTTTCATATTACTAATTTTTTTTTAAGAGATAAGGTCTGACTCTCAGGCTGGAGTGCAGCAGTGCAACCATAGCTTACTATCGCCTTGAACTCCTGGGCTCAAGTGAGTCTCCTGCCTCAGCCTCCTGAGTAGCTGGCGCCACAGGTGTGTACCACCACGCCTGGCTAATGAATTTTTTTTTTTTTTTTTTTTTTTTTTGTAGCGACGAGCCTTTTGCTTTGTTGCCCAGGCCTGTCTCTAACTCCTGGCTTCAAGCTATTCTCCATCTCACCTCCCAGAGTGCTAGGATTATAGGCATGAACCACTGTGTCTGGCTTTTTTCTTTTCTTTTGTGTATGAAAAAGATATTAGAACATGTGTTTTTTCAATAACAGGGCTTTCTTAACTTCTTTTGCTTGGAGATGTAGAATGGCCAGGATGGGGAGTAGAGACAAGTGTAGGTCATGGAGAGAAACATGAGTACAAAGTAGCTTCAGGTTAGGTGAATTAGATTACCTAGAAGAACAATGAATCTCCTTTGAGGGAATGTGATTATTGATGTAATGGCAGCTGCGTAGGCCTCATTCACCCTACTAGCTGGCGTATCAGATAACACAGGTGTCTAAGTATCTACCATGTACTTTAGAATACTTCCAGGTGGTGTTTCTGAGATATAAGAATTTTAAACCTTAGTTCTTCAGTTGTGAAAAAAATGGAGGGAAGAGGGGGAATTGAAGTACAAACCCAAAATTAAATCATGATTTTTTTCACCAAGCAAATTATCAAGTATTTAACATGTTCTTTAATCCGTTTTCTAACTTATAAAATGGGGATAATAATTCATGTCCTGCCTATCCTCACAGGATCATTGTGATGATTAAATATTAAAAACAATCACTAAATGTAGTCATTTATTGAGTACTATTTATTGAGCACTTAGTATGTACCCAGTTCTAAGGACTAAAAATAACAGCAGTGAACAAAAAGAACAAAAACCTTTGCCTCCTGGAGCTAACATTAGGGTACCAGATAGTAGATGTGAAAACTCTGGAAGTCTTGAGTAATTAGATGTTATTGAGTGATTAGATATTATGCTAGGAACTCCTATATTAGCTTAACGTGGATAATATTGTGGTACTTGGAAAAATACGCTCTCACTGCCACTGGCCAACCAGTCTCAGCCCCTATTGGCCAGGTGAGGTGGTTTGCACCTGTAATTCCAGCACTTTGGGAGGCTGAGGTGAGCAGATGGCTTGAGTCTAAGAGTTAGAGACCAGCCTGGGCAACATAACGAAACTCCTTCTCTACTAAGTAGGTAAGGAGGTAAATAGGAAGTTCTAGCACATATATATACATGTGTCTGCCCCTGGACTATAATTCCTAAGCCAAAGTAACCCAAGGCATTTATGTAAAAAGTGAGCTGAGGAGTAGTGCCAGCCTCTGTTTTATTTTGGTTGTGTTTTTAAAAATAATGTAGACTGGCCAGGTGCGGTGGCTCACGCCT